AAAAACAAGGAAGACAGAAAGTATGAAACTGATGACAGTTGAGCACAACCCCTCGAGAGAGAGCCAGAGGTAGCTAGCTAACCACATGTGGTATTCTTAAACGAAACAGTGTTTTGATTGAGGTCGAACCCCACCAAAAAGTCGGCTTGTGCCAGGTTGCCGTAAACAACTCTTTCGTCGTCTGACGGCACAACCATAAGGCACAAAGGCGCATCAGCAGCACTTGAACCTACCTTTAATAAAACATTGTTGTACCCCAAAGTGACGGCTTTCCCGCCCATGTAAACTGTGACACCTGGAAAACTATCTCTCTACCTCTTGTCGTCGCCATCAGGAATGTTGAAGCACAAGTCTACGGGGGAATTATTATTCACTGGGCTCGGCTGTGCCCACTTAATCACGGCATCCTTCAACGTTGTGTACAGATCTGACGGAATCTTTGTCAAGGTCGTCCCTGCATCCACAATCATGTCCCTCGGGGGCGATACCTCGCCCTTCGTCGTCCCGAAGCTCATCCCTTCCAGCGCCACCATGTAGAAGCTACTGGTTTCGGGCGTCGGGGGCAGCATTGGTACCGACACAACCCCTTCTCCAGTGACGGGGCTGCCGAAACTCATCTTGCTGCTATTGGTTTTATTGTTCATCACAGACACCAGGCAATAGGAGAAACTCGCCTGCCCCAGCTGTTTCACGAGCGACGACGCTCCTCTCCCGAGCCCAACCACGCCAGGCGCGTTGTAAGAGCATCCGAACGTGATGTTACTCACCGAGATGCCGTCGTCGAACTTGATGGTGCCTACAAAGAGTTCACCCTCGCCAGACGTCCCATCAAAATATGTCATTTTGAATTTGCATCTGTTTCCTTCTGTTGTGCAGTTGATAAAGGAGCTGCCGCAGATGTCAGGGGTGCACGGGACGGGGTTCGCGGAGCTGGGTGGGCTGCTGCATTGGGTCCAGATGAGGTCACTTGCGGGGTCGGGGAGGCCTGAGGCAGGTAATGAGCCGATTGTGTAGTTGATGAGATAATTGCCTCCCGAGTTCGCGATTGTGGGGTTGGGTGGTGTTTGTGCGGAGAGCTGATGATGGAGGGATCTTATTTGGAATGCTTTGGCTACACGGTTAGTATTTTGGCCGCCGCATTCCGAGAAGGGGGTCACCATGAGAAGGGAGATGAAGGCAGCAACAACTATTATGAGAATATTCATGATAGTCATATATATTACAATACAAGAGTTTTTGTCAAGGAATGCATATATATCTTGTGCTATTCATATCCCTATTTATAAAGGCCCAAGAGTGGTCAAGTTTTTGTTGTCGTGACTTGTTAATAGTTAATTTGGAATATTTTGATCTAGCGTGATAATGGAATTAAGATATGTCGTGGACTTTTCATCACCATTTTTCATTTTTCATTTTTTTCAATGACTCAATTTTTACATGTTTTTATTAATCACTTTTTGACCAGTCAAATCAAAATTCAGACAATTTGACCACTGAGCTAAAAAATATGTGGGAGTTGTTGGCTTGTCATTTTCTACATTAAATTATAGGAGTTGAACATGGGTCAGTACAATTCGGAGGTTATTAAAATTCAAATTCGGGAACTCATAATTAGTAAGGTGTATTGACAACCTGCTCTTGAACTGCTCTGTCGGTGTCAAACCGTCCTTCTATCGACCTCTTGGCTCTGGAAAGCATCGAGAACCTTCTGGCGTAGACACTCTAATGCTTAAGTTAGTATATCTGTCCACTGCAAAGGGCAGTGTTACCCCAAATTTATGATAATGAAAAAATAGTTGTCGTGGACATTTCATCGCCATTTTTCATTTTTTCAATGACTCAATTTTCACATGTTTTTATTAATAACTTTTTTACCAGACAAATCAAAATTTAGACAATTTGAACCACTGATCTAAAAAACGCGGTTGGAGGTCATTTTCTTCATTAAGTTGTAGGGGGTGAGCATGGGTGGGTTATACGGTCTGGAGATTACTAAATTCAATCTCCGAAACTCATAAGTAAGGTGTGTTGACGTCCTTGAGAGCCAATCTTGAATTCTTGTGTCGGTCTCAAATTGTCATTTTCTCGACATCTTGGCTCTGGATCAACCCAGCTTGATGGGCGGAACACCTGAAAAAGCATCGAGCTTTCGGTGTAGACACTCTGATGCTCAAGTTAGTATGTCTCTCCACCGCAAAGGGCAATGTTACCCCAAAATTATGATAATGGAAGAATATTTGTCATGGACATTTCATCATCTTTTTTAATTTTTTCAAACACTTAATTCTTGCGTGTTTTTATTAGTAACTTTTTGACCACTTTAATCAAAATTTAGACATTTTGAACCACTCAGCTAAAAAAATATGTTGAAATTGTTGGCTTGTCATTTTCTACATTAAGTTGTCGGGGGCGAGCATAAATTTATACGGTTTGCAGATCACTAAAATTCAATCTCCGAAACTCATAATTAGTAAGGTGTATTGACATCCTTGACAACCCAGTCCTCAACTCCTCTGTCGGTCTCAAACCGCCCTTCTCTCGACCTCTTTGCTCTAGTAAGCACCGAGAACCTTTCGGTGTAGACGCTCTGATGCTTAGCTTACTTATCTCTCCACCGCAAAGGGCAATGTTACCCCAAATTTATGATAATGGAAGATATTTGTCATGGACATTTCATCACCTTTTTAAATTTTTTCAAACACTCAATTCTCGCGTGTTTTATTAGTAATTTTTTTATCAGTTAAATCAAAATTTAGACAAATTTGACCCAATCACCTACAAAATAGGCTGGAATTGTTAGTTTGTCGTTTTCTACATTAAGTTGTAGGGGGTGAGAATTTGGTCGGTACGGTTCAAAGATTACTAAAACTCAATCCCCGAAACTCATAAGTAAGGTGTGTTGAAGTCCTTGAGAACCCACCCTTGAACTCTTGTGTCGGTCTCAAACCGTCCTT